CAGTGGCAAGGAACCAAAACTCCATCAGGAGACAGAATGGAGAAACAAACCTTGGGAGAACCCAGGCTCAGTCAGGGGCCAGTTCTCCTCTGGCCAACGAACAAACAGTGTATGATTATGATTCAGGCAGCATTACAGGTCAGAAGTCAGATTGGATTGGAACAATCAGAATATTATCCAGTTTCATCTGGTTGAAGGTCGGAGTCCTCACGCCGGTATGGAGACGGGTTTGTTGAGGATCAGTGCCGATGGCTGTCGTGTCGATGAGGCCTTCACAGGGGAGAGTCAATCTCTGCTGACACTTCAGAGATGAGTTGTGGTCGTGTCTAGGCGCAGATCCACCATCTGATCTGGATACGGCCCGGACCCGTCTGACTACAGTAAACCGCGGAATAAACAGAAAGACTAACATTAGCGTAGATGCCATTCTTCTTATGATGTAACGAGTACATCAGCTGTTATAGGAAGTGTCCCCGGTTCCGGCTGACCTATATGCAGCCTAACAATCATTTAAATTTTAATAATATAAGTTTATAATGTTCTATGTGTATGCCAGGTTAAAGAGATGTGATTTTAGTCTAGATTTAAACTTAAACTGAGTGTGTCTGCTTCCCGAACAATGCTACTAAGACCAAAGTTTAGGTGCCAAATAGGAAAAGGATCTACTGCCAGCAGTTGATTTTGATATTCTAGGTATTATCAACTGGCCAGAATTTTGAGATCGCAATAGACGTGAAGGACTATAATGTGTTAAGGGCTCGCTCAAGTACTGGGGATCTAAAGCATTTAGTGCTTTGTAAGTGATCAGCAATATTTTAAATAATATTTTAATAGGGAGCCAATGCAATGTTGACAGAACCGGGGTAATATGGTCATACTTCCTTGATCTAGTAAGAACTCTGGTTTCTGCATTTGGACCAGTTGGAGTTTGTTTATTAAGCATGCAGGGCACCCACCTAGTAGAGCATTACAATAATCTAGCCTAGGCCATGAACGCATGAACTATTCCGCATTTTTCATTGAAACCATTTGTCGTAATTTAGATATATTTTTAAGATCAAAGAATACAATACCATACGAGCAAGATAGCTGTTTTACCGAATATCAGGATATTTTCAAATGTGATGACTTTTAAAATGACTTTATAGCAGTTCAGTGCAGGGGCGGAGCTATGGTGTCAATATGGTGGCAAGCAGAGCGGGGCCGAGAGCTGTGAGAAGGCCAGTGGCATGATTGATAATGAGCGCACCACACCTGTTGTTAATTCCTATCGAATCCTTGAAAATCGTTGGTAGATCCTTTTCCTTTTTAGCGCCCAAACTCTGAACAGTCTTATTTCCTAGCCTAGTTCAGGAGGCAGACACACTCTGTCTGTTTAAATCTAGATTAAAGACCCATCTCTTTAACCTAGCATATAACACACTGTCACATTCCTAAAATCCATTAAAGGACTATTAGGCTGCATTAATTATAGGTCAACCGCAACCAGGAACACTTCCCATGACAACCGATGTACTTGTTACATTGTAAGAAGAATGGCTACGCTTATATTAGTCTCTCTGTTTCATCCTTATCCCGAGGTTACCATAGTCTGCCAGATCCGGTCCGTATCTAGATCAGATGGTGGACCAGCACCTTGACGACCACAACAGCCCTGAATGTCAGCTGAGACCATGACAACTAGCTGAGCCCTATAGAGACAGATTCCTTATGAAGACCTTGTCGACACGACAGCCATCGGCACAGATCCTCAGAAAAGACCACAAAAAAAAGTATTTTCATAAGAATAAAGTATATTTATAATGCAATCAACACCTTTATCACAGTACATAATAATATAAAATAATATGTCTGCCTCATTTTGTGATAAGAAGTCACATCGGATCACAGAAGGTCATTAACACTCGACTGATGTTATAAAGTGAGTTTGGAGCAAATGGTTTAAAAAAGTTTTTATGCTGTGTTAAGCTATATGCTAGCTAGCACTTTTACCAAGAGTGATTATGTTTTATGACTAATTATGAAAAGCAAAGATTATTCAAATGCTTCTTTTTTAAAATACATTAGGTTAAACCAACAAAATTAAACTAGAGGTTAGATAAAGTAGAAATATAATTTTAAGGTAACACATGCAGCTTAAATGTATAGTGTAGCGTATGTTTTTAATAACATTTTTGTTATACTGGTTGAAACTGTTCACAATCTGTCATACCTGCCTGTAAAACATATGTATGTGCATACTAGTGATGGGCAGTTCGGATCATTTTATTGACTCGGATCTTTCAGCAGTCTCGTTCAGCAAAATGAACAAATCTTTTTTTCAATTAATTTCTTCAGAATATAATTGAAATGTTATGTTACTAGCCAAATTCTCCATTTAAAATGAGAGAGAAAAAACGAATGCAGCCAATGCCAAATTATGAGAAACAGAAAGTATGAATTATTAGGTCTTCAGTCTGTTAGTTTACCTCACCTCCCGATCCGAGTCGTTCTTTCTTTTGTCGTGACGTGATTCCCATAGGCTGTATGCAGTCTGTACCGGAAACAGAAATTATTTCAGCTCGAAGTCGAAGACTCATTGCTTATTGGCATAATTATTGGTAAGCCAATAATTATGCTCACATTGGTTTACATAAGTAAATATGTAAATACATTAATGATAATATTAGTTTATATATTAGTTTCATTATAGTAAACTAGTCCAGCACAAGAGAGACATGAGGGGATGGAGTTTCTGGACTTCTTCTCTAACTGTCCTGGAAAGCGCTACAAGTTACTTGAAATAGGTCAGTAAATAAATGTTGTTGGTTTTTAATGTGCCGGTTTGTTTGTTGCAGAAGGTTTATTTGTGCTACAGTATGTGTGGGAAGGGAACTAAATAGGTCAAATGCTGCGCTACATTATTGAGTGTTTCTGCTTGTCTGCTCTATTCAGGTCATTATTATTGATGATTACCAATCTGCCTGATAGTGTGATATGTGAATGAGCCATTGTCACTCTTTTTTCCTTCATGCAGAGTTCAGAAGTGAACTACCAGACAAGACCATTATTGGTACCTCATTCTGCAGGCCAGGTAAGCTATTGAATATTGCAATGTTTGATTTCTGATACAAATAAGAGTTTTGTGACAATCATAGTCAATCCTGTTTATAGGGTCTAGTGAGAGATGTCTGAGTAGATTAATATAGTAGGATAATTATCCTAGCATAAATGCAGTCCATACTGTGTTGTTTTATATGTTGGGTCACACTGCCATTTCCAATCCAGTACCAAGTGAACCGAGCATTGATACCACAGTGTAGGAATCCTACAAAAATGAATATTGTGCTAAATATTGCAGTTTTCCAATATTGACAATATGTTCTACTCTTTTACTCTAAAGAATATGAATGATCTTACAAAAGAAGCTGTTTATATAAGTAAAATTAAATAATAGCATGGCATTGTAATAATGAGATTTATTTTTGAGGTATGTATTGTTTCAATTGCAATATTGTGAAATTGTTACTATAGAAAAGTTTGGTGTCAGTAAGATTTTAAACTTTTTTTTTCCAATAAAAAAAGCCTCTTATGCTCACCAATGCTGCATTTATTTGATCAAAAATACAGCAAAAACTGTACAGTTGTGAAATATTATTACCATTTAAAAATAACAGTTTTCTATTTGAATATATTGTAAAATATAATTTATTCCTGTTTTGCAAAGCTGAATTTTCAGCATCATCACTCCAGTCTTCAGTGTCACATGATCCATCAGAAATTCTAATACGCTGATTTGCTGCTCGAGAAACTTGTATTATCTATGTTGAAAGCAGTTGTGTTGCTTAGTATGTTTGTGGAAACAGTGATACATTTTCTTTCTGGATTCTTGATTGTAAAATAAACTTTATTTGAAATTTAAATCCTTTGTAACATTATATACTGTATGTATTTACTGTCACTTTTAATGCATTTAATCCATTTTCAATTTTCATATTCCATTTAAAAGCAAGAGGAGAAATATTTACCACTAGGTGGAAGTATTATCATTCATATGTGAAACCACTTAAAATTACACAATTATAATCTTTAGATTTGGTTTATTTTGAGATATTATCATATTTGTCTAATATCAATCTATTGTTTTAAATGTTACTTATTTATTTTTCTCTTTGTAAGCAGGGGCTTCATCTTCTGTCTAATAATATCTTCACCGAACCACAGAGTAATGATAAACCCATCATCTGGATCAGGAGGTGAGAAGGATGTTAAAGGGTGATGAATGCAGTTTAGTGCTTGAGAATACTTTGGCTGCAGATTTCAGACTGTGGAGTCGGTGGGATGTGGCTTTATATCAGAGGCGTTATAGAATATACTGTATATGGAAGGAGTTAGTCAATTCAGCTGTTTTAAATGTTGTTTAAAGTCTGGTGCACCTCTCCTAAAGTTAAGTTTAGTAATAAAATATTTAAAAAGCCATACACTATTTCTGAGTGTAACCATCATGTTTTAGTTTCAATACAGAGGGTGAGAGAGTTGCAAACTTTTACTTTATACCAGTAGAGGGTGACATTTGAATGAGACAAATCAGAAACATCCTTTATTTACATGTCTGTTTGCTCTCTTAAAAGAGAGAGTTTTTGTTTTTGAGTACTTTTTGTCATCATTTACTCACCGGCATCCTCAGTTTGTTCCAAACCTGTGAGTTTCTTTCTTCTGTTGAGAACAAAAGAAGATATTTTGAAGAATGTCGGTAACCAGTCAGTTGACGTAGCCATTGACTTCCATAGTAGGAAAGAAAATACCATTTAAATCATTGTTCAACTGTCATTCTTCAAAATATCAACAGAAAAAGAAACTCATACTGGTTTTGAACAACTTGAGAGTGAGTAAATGATTCATTTTGGGTGAACTATGCCTTTAAAGGAAAGAAAATGCATCCTGATACAGATTAATAGTTCAGAGAATAGTAGAGACTAATAGATTGTTTATCATATTCCTCTCCTTATCTTCAGGTGTGTGTAGGTTGCTGGCCTCTTTGCTTCATGGGCTGGAGTTTCACATGGACGCCTCAGAGGACAGCACTTTTCTACAGGAGATGCTCATGGGCAATACTCTGCATCTGCTTATTAAGGTCAGACTTTATTTTAGCAGCCACCCAGCCCACTTTAGCGACTGCTGTTTGCCAGTGCTACGACTCGACTTGGGTGAAATGATTTAGATCAAGTTGTTCCGTTAGCTTGACCATAAGAAGATACACCTGCACCTACACATTTTCTCAGTTTGCTTACTCGCTTACTTTATTGTTTATTTTTACAGGGACAATGTACAATTAAGAGTAATTGCACTAAAGTTAGCTAACAACTAATTTACATCTGCTGTCCCTGGGCAGGTAAACAAATCAAATAACATACAATGTTACATATACACCACATAAAACATCACAATACATATGTCCAGGAATGTAAGATTTACAAAATCAGTATATAAAAACAAAGAATTTACAACACAGTCATTAGTGGTTGCAGATTTGTTCGGATAGTAGCCAGTACTTAAGCTTGGTTTTAAAAACTGTGAAGCTATCAATGAGTGACCACACGAAACCACAGCGGGGCCGGCGTAGCTGGAGAGAGAGAGAGAGAGAGAGAGAGAGAGTCCAAAGAGTCAGAGACCGCTTTAGTTGCCGTGGCGGGGCAAGGCAGGCAAAAAACAGAACACAACACACTCGTAAACATACATAAAGGAGAACACCAGACACCAAACAAGGGAAACACAGGTGTATATATACAGATCTTCAGACTATGATTCTATTCAGTTGGAGGACACGTTTGATTATTTGAGCCGATTTTAGAGCTGTCTGGGTTGTCTACTTTTCTCTGTTTGTGTTTGCTTGAGTTGGACTTTCGTTTCCTTTGTCTGAGTTAATTGGTTTCCTTGGTATTTAATTGATTGATTGAGTTGGATCACCTTTGTCTCATTTCTTTGATTTAGTTTGCTTGTGTATTTAAACCCGTTTGTGACGAGACAAGAGCACATATTGGGTGCTTCTCAATTCTTATTTGTGCATCCTCGTTTCCTTTCCTCGCTTCCTTTCCTCGCGTCTCAGCTCCACCCCCTGCAGGATGCGAGGGAAGGCTGCAAGGAAAGAAAAGGAGGACGGAGGAATCGAAAGAAAGTTTTTTTATACATTGGAATACTTGATCACTCGAGCGTCACTTCACTGCGTCATCAGCAGCGCTCAAAGGAGCTGCCCTTATGTTGTTGAAGTTTGGTTATTTAAGAAATTAGTAATAAATAATAATAAAGCAAGATACCCTATTGAAATATGTGAGATGTGTGGTTTATATAAACTGCAAAGGTCAAGTATAAATTAAAATGATTGTGACCGACGTGAAGGGGGCGGAGAATGTATACGTGCATCACGTTTAGTCGATAAAACACTTCCGCAAAGCATGCAACTGTGTATCCTCGCTCATAGCTCCTCTGGAAGCCTCCTCACTCCTCGATCCTCGCCTCCTCGCGGTGCAATTAGAGAATTGAGATGTCCTTCAAGATGGCTGAGCTCGATCGGTTTCCGGGTCATAGGATGGAGGACGGAGGATCGAGGAGACGAGGAGGGATATTGAGAAGCACCCATTGTTTTCATATTTGTCACGCGTCTCCTAGCAATGAGGTGCATGTTTCTGAGTTTGTTTGTATTCAGAATGACCTGGGGCCTATACCATGAACCCGGTTTAAGTGTCTAGCCAGGTATGTTTCAGTTTAGTTTGCGCCTACCCTGGGTTTTAGGCACCATAAAAGTAGTTTGGCTTTTAGCAGTGTTCATCGCCATAGTAACTTACGCTCCACAGCTACCCTGGTCCGGGACAGGTTATGTTCCAGGTAAGAGGTTGCAAACCGAACTTGGACCAATCAGCTGTGAACAAAGTGACACATGTCTGACGCGATAAAGTCACTCAGAGCCGATCCTGGCATCCCTGGGGCCCTAAGCAAAAATCTGTTAAGGGGCCCTCCTACCTGACCCATGTAAACCATTTGCCATTGCCACACAGTCACACCTGACACCCCAGTTCTCCCACTACAATCCTCCCTCGTTTAGTTAGTACTAATGAAAATGTAATTCCTGATATCAGAAATAGACATATTTTATATTAATATCAATAATTCACATTTTAAATAGTACAAATGTAATTATTGATATCAAAAATGCATCCTGTGAATTAATAAAAGCTAAAATGGCTTGCCATTTCATGTCACTGTGTTTTAAATGATAAAAGCAATAATTGATACTTAATGGTTATTATTTACTGATTGATGTGCATCCATATTGACCTGTATGTCCAGCCAATCAACATTTTAAATGCAATAGTCAATATCAATAGATTGCTTTCCATCTTGCTTTATTGCAGGGTTGTAACTATTCTGATTTGGAGACTTGATAATCATTGTCTTGTTTTAAAGTGAGCGCCTAATGAGGAGTGCCATAACGCCCATATAACTGGTCCCCATAGATTTTTTTTTTTTTCTGGAAAGTGCGCGTTTCATTTCGTGCACGCGCATTCGAACTCATGTTAACGCGCGACGCGGTTATCTTTTCCGAGCTGCAGTTTATAAACAAAAACCGTTGCACTTTGTATTATCAAACGTAATATCATGAAAGTGCGTATCTATAGCCTACCACGAATTTAATTTATCGTGCTATTTTATACGCCAAAAAATTTTTTTGCGTGCATATGCTACGCACTGTAAATCTCTTGGGTAGGATTAGGGGTGTGGAGTGCGTGCATATTACACGCCAAAAAGTGCGTATCATATGCACGCAAAAACTATTTTTGGCGTATAAATGGCACGAGAAATTAAATTCGTGGTATAAATACGCGCTTTCATGAGATCGGGCTGGAGACAGACGAGAGAGATGCACATCAACTTAACTTTACTGTTCTGTTCTGTGCTGACATCAAACTTGGAGAGGAGAGAACACAAGTTTACCTGATCGCTGTTCCTGCAATTCACTCACATGGTGTTTTTCTCTCAGTTTCTCTTTTCGTGACCAGAAGGATAGTTCGATGTTGTAAACTTTGATTGACGCGCTTTGACGCGAGGGGGAGGCGGGGCCTTGAGTAATTTGCGGGGCCCTACGCAGCTTGCGTAGTGTGCGTATAGGGAGGATCGGCTCTGACTCCACCTGTTTCTACTCCAAATTAGAGGTCACTACATAGCAAATGATTTTTAAAGACAAAATCGTCTGGCTTTTAGTAACTCTTATTTGGAATAATAAATGTGTATGATTTAGATATTATTTATGTAATTATTATACCCTTGATTGATCACACATGTATAATTTTAGTTCATCAATTATTATTACGCAGAGTTTAAATTAATAAATATATAAAGGTAATATAAATACGCTTTAGAGTCAATGAAGCTATAAAATGACTACTTGTGAGCTTAAATGTTCAATTCTCTCTATACCTTTATCAACTGTATAAACTAACTTCACAACTTTTACTTGCACTGATATAAAGTAGCGAGACTTTCTTTTAGTTGTGCTTTTTCAAAGACAGCTATTTTCTTCTTGCTGTGTAAATTTGTTTAAATTCTTAATATTTTAATACTTTTATTTAATAAGCGATTTGTGCTGCTTCTCTCGCGAGAAATGAATCGCAGTTTCACTCTATCTCAGCATGCGATTGGCTGTTCGCTACTGATGTCACACCTAAACTCCTAAACTCAGGATCAAAGCCTGAGTTGACAGAGAAAGGTGATGATCAGCATCATGGTATCAACAAAGCCTGGTTGGATTGGTTTGGTTTTGTCAACTCGAAACTAATCCTGCAACCCTGAGTTTATTCAACTACCATCATGGTACAGGCCCCTGGTAGTTTGTGACCCTCAGTCGTTTAGTATATGATGCAGCTTTTCCTCTTTAACCATTTTCAAAGTCAGCAAGTTTATGATGTTTTAAAATCTGTATGATTTTAAGTAATGTAGTGTATACCAGCCTCTACTCACACATTTATTCAATAACTTATTCATATGTTCCCATTTTTCTATATTTCACTCATTAGCTCATTCGTTCGCTTATTTCACCTTGTTCAGTATTATATAACTCATTATTTCAAAATCCGTTCCTGTTGATCCATTCATTCAGTGAGTGAGTCTCTCACTACTACACTTGTTTAATCATTTATTACTCACTTTGTTTAGTTATGGGCACGGGCCACACTGCCATTTCTTCAGGATGAAATCGTTTGCAAGCTGAGTTCTCCAAACACTGCAGTCAGTGCACACCCAGCATCATATTTTGCTGGCAGACGAGTCTAATGAATCCAGCACATGCTGTCTGCGACACTGAGAGAGGGGGAGGTGAGGAGAGGTCGAAGGGGAGACTGTGATAAAAGCCCAAACACTGCTCAGCTGGACTGCTGGTGCTCTGTTCCATGAGTCACGTGGAGCTGTTAAGTGTTCAGTGCTCTTGCTCCATGTTGCTCTTTTAATGCTTAGAAAGGATCAGATTTTCCAATCAATCTGACTTTTTTACTTTCCTTAGAGAAACTACAGAACTACTCAAGAAAATAGTTTGAAAGCTGTTTCTGTCATACAGAAAATACTTGCACAAATGCATGCCACAATGATCATTTCAACGCACTGCATTAAATACCAGTAGCATTTATGAATACTGTTTCATGCTACATCATAAAACATGCTCATACAAACATGTGCAGAGGATATAAAACACATTTATGATTATGATTTTTGTTTATGAATGAACAAGTGAATTAATGAAATGCACTAATATTTTATTTAGCAAGGATGTGATCAGTGACAGTAAAGACTTTTACATTGCTAAAAAAAACTATTTCAAATCGATGTTACTATATATATATATATATATATATATATATATATATATATATATAAATTATAATAATATTTTATTGTATTTTTTTTATAAAATAAATGCAGCCTTGGTGAACATAAGAGGCCATAATAATTTTTAAAACAAAATTCTACCAACCTCAAACTTTTGAATAGTAGTGGATGTATTATGTTCTGTAATTTTATAATCTTTTTTCCTTCTTTATCTGTAAAATTAAAGTGATTTTAACAGAACTAAATTTTAAGAATTAAAATGAGATCATAGAAATCTGCAACTATAATAATTATAAAATCATTCTAAATATTTTTATAGTCACAATTCACTGTTAAAAAAAATTCTTGAAACTTCACCCGCACACGTGTTGATGGGCCATTAAAAAGAAAAGTGTTTTACATTGACAGGTATCCCCCAATAGCAAGCTATTAATTTATTTTGTACAAAACATTTCTGCATGAGTCTGAAATATCACCACACAACAAGTTCCAACTAATGTCAGAGTCCATCTCAGCAGCAGCGAACACAAACATGCAACTAAAGGATTATACTAAGTATGCGCAAAGAGAATGTTTCTGCTTTTTCCAAGGCTCTGCCATTTGACTGTAAAGGAAATCAGAGCTCTTTTTCTGTTGGAAAATAAGCAATTATACTGCCATTACAAACAAGAAGAAACTTTACAAGAAATGTACCATAAAAATCTGAAATACATGTAGCATGTGGTCTGAGTCAGAATACATCTCCATAAATTGTAGTTTTTGCATATCACTGGGTTGACATAATGGCAGTTCTCTTATTGTGGAAATAAATATTTTATATATTTATTTAGACATGAATTTACATTATTTTTTGGGCCTTCCTCTATGTTAGTTGTGATTTTTTTTTTTTTTTTTTTTTTTTTTTTTTTTTGCACATGGATTTGCATGAAGAAGCAACAAGAGACATTAACTGACAGCGAGTCTGTAAAAATACTTTGGGAAGTTTTGTGTAGAATGCGGCTCAGGCCAAAATGTGTCTGGTTTTAGTGTGTGATATCATCTTTTAAAAAATGTAAAATTGTTTTACTTAATACATCTGTTTTTGAAACATGTTCCTCTTTATGAGTACTGTTAGCTGTGTGAGGGCCGTAAATATGATTACATCTTTCTTGGCTGATATTCTAATAGCTTTCCCATTGCTTTATGCCGCACATAAAGTGCAGCCAAATGGATGGACAGACAAACACTCAAAACTCCTTAGCCTTTAATGTTAGTTTGTATTTGACTGATATATTACCTTTTGGTTACTTTTGACTGTACTTTACATCAGACTGTGTGATATATTACTCACAAAATACAGAGAAACATTTTGCTACTAGATGAATTTCAAGGGTGATGGTCAAAGGGGTGAGGACTAAAGGCCAATTTATACTTCTGCGTCGGGTGCGCGCAGTAGTTACGGCGTAGCATACGCACAGACGCGTACCATACGCCGTACCCTTCGCCGTAACCTGACGCGCACCTCCTCAAAAATGTAACTACACGTCGCGACGACGCGGACCGCAAGATCTGTGATTGGTCGGCTTGGTAGCATCGCGTTTCCTCCTATGCATTTCCGGCGTGTTCTTCTGCACCGCCCGCCATTTTTAAATTCTAAGTACAGCGAAACTGTTAAAAAAACTAAAAATTTACCTTTTCCACCTTGATAAGCTCCAACTCCAACATGATCTGCTCTCTTTCAGTCGCCATTGCTTGTAGTAACCTAAACTCAAAACAGCCGCGAGGAATCTTCTTCTTCTTGCCGCGAAGAATCTAAACACAGTGGAACATTAAAGCCCTCCGCCGCCAACTAGCGTTTCGGCGCTGTACTGCAGAGCAACGCAGACCTAAACGCAGAAGTATAAATGCTCATGACGGCGTCGCCTACGTGCGTAGCCTACGCCATACACTCCGGCGTACACTCGACGCAGAAGTATAAATTGGCCTTAACCCTCTGGGCATTGGACGACAGCCTAACGCCACTTCTCCTCTTCTTACAGGTCTATGACAGGCTCCAGAAGTACAGGGCCCAGCGGCCTGCTCCGCTGCTGGATAGCACACAGGGCCTGGCTCAGGACGTAAGTTCTCCTCTGGGGCATCAAGTGTTTTTTGTCTCCAGACCAGAGTGATCAGACAATCCAGCAGAGCTGGGACGAAATTCAGTTGCAGGACCTTTAGTCTGTTTAGTGTTGTCGGTTTGAAGTGTACTGGAAGGGATTACTATAGGGAACACTCCAGAGTCACATAAATATATGTGCTGCAGCCTCACAGACACTCACTTATTTATTGTGTTATTTTTTTTAATGAAATAATTTGGCAACTCCTAAGGCCAAAACTGCATTTTTGTGTATAAATGCCCAAAATGACCTGGTTTTCCCTTAACTCTATAAAACCGCAGTGTATAACCAAAAGAAGTTTCCCCAACACCCCTTTTATCTGCCCCTGGTAGGACAAATAAATAGTCCCGCCCTAAACTTGCACCATTGGTTGAGCCAATAATGCTACGTAATGCAGGTCAGAGGCCTGTCTCAGGAAGTAGGGAAAGATTGGGAAAAAACTCAGATTATTTATTATCTAAAATACATATTATTACATGCTATATATGTGTGTGTACCATTGTGAATGTGAAAAGCAAAAACCTATTTTTAAAGCTTATGAAGATCATCCCCCTTCCCTAAAGGAGAGAGCGATGATGTTACGTCAGAACGACTGACGAACTGGGATCTCGCCTGAGAGCCCAATCACCTTCGACTGGTAACAGAACAAAGCCAATGCACATTTTGCAGCCGCTTCCCCGCTTCCGGGTATATAAGGCAGCGTGCCAGAGGAGGTACAGGAATTGTGGCGACGGGGCTTAACGTCTCCGTTTCCTCCTTCCCTATTATTCAGTCATACTTGACGTTATGTCAGAATGATTGACGAATTAAGAAGACACCACCAATGCTGCCCCTTCCAAGCCCCGAGCAAGCCGCCTAGTCACCTGTTGTGACAGAAGAAGAGACAGGGCTGTGCACGGAGAATGTCAATCTCTGATGTTTCAAATGATTCTAACTTCCTGCGGGGAGCCCAGGGACGCCCTTGGTGACGAGCAGGCGGGGCGGGGGGCAGCCTCAGACTGACAGGGCAGGATGTGTTTGATCGCCTCCGTCTGCTTCTGTACTGCCGAGAATTGCTGGGCAAAGTTCTCGACTGGGAAGAGGCCGGCTTGGGAGATGGGGGAGTCGAGAAAGCGAACTTTGTCGACCTCCTTCATCTCGGTCAGGTTCAGCCAGACATGGTGCTCCTGGACCACTAGGGTAGACATTGTCTGCCCCAGGGTGTATGCAGCTCCTGCATCAACCCGGGGTCAGAACTACCCTTGTGCAGCTCTTTTAGTTCCTTGGCCTGGTATACTTGCAGGAGGGCCATGGCATGCAGGGTGGAGGCGGCCTGTCCAGGCGGCACTGTAAGCCTTGGATGTGAGTCCAGACGAGAACGTACAGGCCTTGGATGGGAGACGTGAACGACCCCGCCAGGTGACAGCATTTTGCAGACACAATTGCACCGCAACTGCACACTCCACCTGTGGGATCTCCACGTACATTTTCACCACCCTGCCACCAAGAGTTGTGAGAGCGGAGGAGGCAGTTGAGCCGTTTCTGGCAGAAAAAGGTGCCTTCCATGACTTTGTGACCTCCTTGTGCACTTCCGGGAAGAGAAGGAGGTTCAGGACACGGTGGAGGGTTGGAAAGCATGGCAGTCAGCTCCGGGTTGGACTCGAACAACGCTACTCTCCCCGAAGGGGGCAGCGCAGCCAAATCTTCATCCCCAGAGGACTCTAGCCCACCCTTCGATGCAGAGGTCGACATCCGGTCCCCCGCAGGAACCCTACGTGAGAAGGCCCAGCAACCACAGCCTGTGATGGAAAAGAGTAGTGAGGGGCCACAGGGATTCACCCGGTGGAAGAGCTCCCACTGTAATCCTCAGATCACCTTGCATACCTTTACTAATCATTTAGTACCTTTATGGGCAGCCATTTCAATGGCAAAAGTGTCCCAAATTACCTGAATTCACTTTTTATTTATTTTTTACAGATCTTTTCAAATTATGTATTAATTATTTGTTCATGTTTTTGCAGAACCCAATCTAAAGTTAAAACTGTTCATTATTTGTAAATGTTTATAAATGTTTACTAATCATTAAGTACCTTTATCTGCATTTGACTTTTAGCTGTAACAAGGTTTATGTAATAGCTAAGTTTAGCAAAATGCTTGCTAAAGACAACAATAACACATGATGTAATTTGGGTGCAAAACATGTTTTTGTTTTTTTGCCTCAGCACTTATATACAATATCCTTAAACAGAGGATATTCCTTGAATCATACATCAACAGGAGAAATTTTTTTTTTTCAAGAAAATACATATATCGAAACAATGTAACAGTTTGAACCGTGTTCCCTTATAGTAATCAAATTGAACACTGTGCACTTGACCCCTTAAACCTACCTATACAGCAAACCTGAGTGTTTTGGAATACATGAACACAATAAGTAAATTGTATCTAATTATTATTATTATTATTATTTTGTCAAAAGTACATACATAAGTGGATGTTAAAGACGCCTAAAATAAAGTAAGACCAGTCATTCTTATATTGTTAATTTTTCTTTTGAATCCAGATCACTCATAGCTACCAAACACCTTTTTGCATTTGTACATTTGTAAATGTAAAAAAAAAAAAAAAAAGTCCATTAGGTACTATATGACCTGAGGTTTCATGACATTTGTATATTTTCAAGAACTGCATGATCATGTATGAATTGAAAGTTTAACAACATTTGACAGCATTTTAATTTACATAAAAAATTTACATTCATCAGATGAGAATTTAATCGCACCGACTTTCTTCTGTTTCACATGATGTTTGCAAATGTCACACTTCATGTGAAACACTCATCATTGTTAATCATAGTTAACTGATAAATCAGGATCAAATCATTAGTCATTTGTGGAGTTTCCTCAACCTGCTTTGTGAGACACCCCTTGGGAGACTAAACCAGTGTTTTGGAGAAATTCAACATTAATAATGAGTTTCTGTTGAATCTGCTTATGAATCTGAGAAAGCTGCACTCATCAATAAACATGGCCATTGACCTGAACCAGTTGGTGCAACAGCCACTTGCTTCATCGCTTGTCACATTGCTTTCACTATGAATCCGCATGTGGTCTTCCATGTCATATAATGCGAGAACTTCATGGTAATGTGAGCTGTGTGTCATCTGAAGACTTAGATCCAGTTGTCATTGTTTCCATTTGATAGTCTTGGAAGCATCATGTGAATCAGTAATTGTTGCACCATCATTTTTTGGCAAAAAGAGCTGAATTTTCAGCATCATTACTTCAGTCTTCAGTGTCACATGATCGTTCAGAAATCATTATAATGTGCTGATTTGGTTTTTGCTGTAAGTTTGATCAAGTAAAAGCAGCCACAATGCAGTTTTGATATTTTCAAAAACATTCAAAAATCTTAAAGGGGTGATGAACTGAGAAATCAAATCTTCCTTGAGCTTTTGACATCTAAGAGGTCATCAAATTATAAGAATATCCTGTAAGTTTCAGAACTGAAAACGTCCTTGTTAGTCCAATAAAAGCTTTTATTGACACCAGGCTCAGCAAACGACTCGTTGTTCAAAGTGGGGAACTATGACGACAAAGAGGATAAAACACCACCCCCGCAGAAGAAGATCAACGCCTACTTCAACGCGGCCGGTTTAGCCCCGCCCACCGATTCGCGCATTACACGAAACTCATTATAATATGCAAAACTGTTATCCACTCACAGCAGTGGGCGTTTACTTACAAGTCTTCAATGCGAGACGCCCATAAAAACCGAGCGTTTTTGAGCTAGGCTCAAAACTAGGGTAGAAAATAGCCTATTACTTATTCATTTTGATGTTTTTGAATGTAAAAACCAAGCGAACGTCATAAGTTGACCTCAGACAACAATATAAAACAATTTAAAAAGCCAGTTCATGACCCCTTTAATGATTTTAAACCAACAGTATTCCGACACACACACACACACACACACACAAAAACTACTAGCTCAACAAGGCTCACAAAAAAAAACAAAAAAACTTGAATGTTCTGCCCTGTAAATTAAAAATCACAAAATCATTAACGTTACCACTAGCCTAAGTTGTTCCTCTTCCTTGCACATCTTGCAAAAACAATCAGCCCTGTCTTTATCAACTCAATTCTGCAGAGACTCTTAAAACAAAGATTATCTCCAGCTTTTGACTGTGCACGCTGTATTTCATTAAGGCAAAGAGTGGTTTTGAAGAGATATCGATTTCCATCTTCTCTCAGACTGAAAACGAGGAGGACATTATGGAGCATTAAGCCGTTAAAAGCCTTTTCCTTACGTTGCAGCTCAGTGTAAAATTTCAGTTTTGGAGATTTAATGTATGTTTAACGTCAGGTCCGGTGTTACTCACAACCACATTCGGTCTAGTCGGTTTTTGCTTGGCTGAACCACAACAGAAACAGTTATTTCTCCAGGGCTCATGGTTCTGTGGCTTTTTGACCTGCTATGTAAACACTCGCATAGTATTGTCAAGTGGGTTGGGATAGATTGAACCAGACCACCAAGCATTGCCAAAGCAAACTCTTTCCAGATCGGTTCATGATACTTGAGCATAAACTATAAGCCAAAAGGGATGGTCAGAGACTTTTGCCTGTAATAACATATAGACATTATAAAATGTTGTTGTTTTTTCATGTTTCGGTCCAGTTGGCGGAAGAGCTGCGTGGTGTTGTCACCAGCCCAGAGACAACAGAGCTGTTACACTTGCTCTCCAAACCTCATGTACAGGTGAGAAGAGAATGTACATGTGGGTCAAGATTTGGTCAAGATCTCAAGAAAGGTGGATTGACATATCTGACACTGGCTTGGTGTCATTAGATAAAGTACATTTGTAATAGTATTTGGTGTAAAATCAATCCAAGTTATGAGTATTTCTTTCTTTTCACGAGTTGTCTGTTGTAGGCTTGCATATATATTCTTCTTTAGATGAAGATGATTATATACAACTGATAAAATATCAAAAATGTACATTACTCTCTGACATCAAGCATGAACTAGACATAAAGAGAAGGAAAATTCACCTTTAGAGCTGTTACAAACCAGACCCACACATTAAGTTTATAGAGTTCGGGAGTTTTTACTTATGAGGGCCCTGACAGCTTTATTTGTGATTGGTCTAATGATATGTTGCTTCTTGGATCGTTTGTTTGGCTCTCACTTTTTATAAGGCAAGACTGGGTTGCCTCAGTGAGGTGATATTCAGTGTGGAAAGATACTTTATCAGGCCAAGTGAGAAGACCAATCAACAGCTTTGATTGTTGACTTACTGTACTTGATGTGCTGAGAATATTTTATTTGAAATTGCAATGCTTTGTAACATTTTAAATGTTTTACTGACACTTTTGTTCAATTTCATGTATCTTTGCTGAAGAAAAGTATATATATATATTTTTTTTATATAATAATTTGACCCCAATCTTTTGAATGCTATTGTAAGGGATAAATTAATCTTTCTTCAATTCTTGTGGAAATCTGCTTTTGTGGAAGTATAGCAGAATCTTCAATCTGCTATACTTGATTCTGATTGGTCAGTCTTGTCATTATGCTATTTTTTTGTTTTGTTTTTTGTGTGTAATGACAACTAAACAGAGGTATTTTCAAACTCCATAAATTATGAATTTTGACCCCCAAAATATGCATTTCTTTCATGGGCCCTTTTCTTAAAATATAAAGGCATATATTTTTATATACAAAGACCCTTTCGTAACATAAATCTATGAATAATAAAAAAAATATAAAGACAGTATTGTAAAACCAACGTTTTTTTTAATTGTCTTTGTATTAAAGCAAATTATTTAAATAGTTATCGGCAAAACATTGATCTTTTTTCTACCCACTATTATAGTAATGTTAGATAAAATTATAAAATTGTAATAATAAATATATACTGCTAACTGAATTCCCAACCAGACAATTGTCATACCTGTGCTGTCATTCTCCTCTTCAGGCTTTTCTCTCAGTGCATGACATGGTGGCCCAGAAAGAGTTTGACCCTCGGTTGCCTCCTCTGCCTGATAACGATGAGAAAGAGGAAGATTCGATCAAGATTGTTTGCCTGATGAAAAACCAGGAGCCACTGGTAGGTCCCTCTGGATAACGTGAGTAAAACATAAGAATATAGTCCATTTATATAAAGCTGGTTAAAAACAGGTTACAGTAGTTGAAGCTCAGCAGCTAATTCATTCTGAGATCTGCTTCAGCTTGAAATATAAAGTACATTGGACTCCCTTCAACCCTGTCAACTATCAGATACCTTTAAAAACTCATTTTTGAAGAATATTGTTTTAAAATCATCCATAGGTTAACATTCCATTCCTCATGATAAAGGTCATGGCTCTGAAATTGATTAGGAATCAATTGAAATCAACTGAAATTGATTACTCCGCTGAATTGTTTTTGATTGTAATCAGCAGAACACTAATAAGGCCAGCATATTTAGAGGGAAGATTTGGATTATCCTATAATGCTAGAGTATCAAATTGCAACCTGGATCAGTTTTGCCCTCAACTTTACCTCCAGAATCATATTTTCCATCACTGAACAAAACCATCTGGACTTACAATTGTGTTAGTTAAATGGGATGCTTTGAATACAAATAGGAAACACTGTACAGCACTCTGCATGTAAAACGCATGACTTCAGATTGAACCCTCTCAAACAAGGTTTATCTTTTTATTGTGGGGTTATCCTTCTACTTCTGACGCACAATGTGGCCATATTCCCATTCACAATGCATAGCTTGTAAAATGGCGATTTTCTCCATTATTACTCCTTTTGTCTATAACATCTGGCGAATAATGCCGAAGGAGGCAGCCATTTGAATGAGGCTTTATGAATTGCAAGAATGAACGGAAAGAGCATCATCAGTTTTTGGTACGACCGTGACGAAGAGTCCCTCCTTGCCATCCTCTCACTAGACTCAATGTTTTTTGTTTTTTTTCATCTGTTGTCTACCATGATTGTGATTGGAATGGAATAGTCTACGATGAATTAATCAGACAACAGTCAAATACACAAAATATTCTAGAAGTCTGAAGGGAACAAATGCAGTTTCATCAAATAAAAATCTGTCTGTATATCTGCCTTACCTAATTATATACACTATGTACCATTCAAAGTTTTTTTTAAAAGAAACTAATACTTTTATTCAGCAATAAAATCGATCAAAAGTGACAGTAAAGACTTTTACGCTGCTTCAAAAACAAAATTCAAATAAATGCTGTTTTTTTGAACAAAAGTGCATCATAGTTTCCACAAAAAAATATTAAGCTGCACAACTGTTTTCAACATTGATAATAATAAGAAATGTTTCTTGATCACTAGATCAGCATTTCAGAATGAAGGATCATGTGACACTGAAGATTGGAGTAATGATACTGAAAAATAAGCTTTGCCATCATAGGAATAAATTACATTTTACGATATATTTAAATTAAATAAAAAATATTAAAATATATAACATTTTTAAACATTACAGTTTTCACTGTATTTTTGATTGATTAACATAAGAAAAGAAAAAAATCTACTGACCCCAAACTTTTGAATTCTATCTATCCTACACTTTCTTTTCTTGTATTATTTCAGTGGTTCGTTTCTCAATTTCTTTGCATATAGTGATCAAGTCTGCGGTGTTCAGACCAGGCAGATGGAGTTAGTGATCAGTGATTAAACCATTAACCTTAAATATGATCGTTTTGTCTTGGAGCAGGCCAATATTAAAGAGGCGCAGTCCTGAACCCATCTGTTTTCTCTGCACCATGGGTCGTGAGCTATAAACACTGGGTCATGGCTTTTCCATGTTCTATTTAAGAAGCATGTGAAGGAACTAGAAAGTTCTCCACAATCCAGAGATCTTTTTGTGCTTCTAATAGGGGACCTGAGCCCTGTGATTAAGGATTACAGGCCATTTTGGCTTCTGTGGTCAAGGAACTATGCAGGGCCTCCTAACTCCTGTATCAGTGTCCCGTGTGGCTTGACTGCCATCATTGTCTGCTTCTAAACAGGCTTGTTAAAGCGTGGTCTCCTGAAACGGGTCATGTCAGAGGCCCTTTGAGGACTAAAATGTTCTTTTAACCATAGTTTGGACTAGTTTATTTCATGACCTCTGCAAGTTGTTAATATGTTTTGGAGAGTTTAACCTATACAGTATTAGTGCAGCTGCATGTGGTGTGGTGGCCATGGTTGGTGTATTGATTGTCCTGGGAGTAGGCTTGGGCGGTAATACGGTAATATCGTATACCGCGGGATCTAAAAATAGCAACGGTATCAGTTTCAATATCGTCATACCGTCATAAAAAAATCCAATGCACTTATATAGGAGACAAGGATTAAATATAATTTATTTAATGGCTAAAAAGAGTGGGGGAGAGAGGGGTAAAGATGGCAAGTTGCGCATGTGACCTGGTCTCGAAGAAGAACACGACTTCTGCAGTTTGGCAGGGATGGGCATTTCAAGCAAAAATAATATTTGAAGATCGCCTGGTATTATTTGATTATTATTCGAAAATCGCACCCCTCCACCATATGCACGCACACATGCATGTACAGCGGAGCGGTGTGACGCTTAAATAGGCTATAAGTAAAAAAAAAAACTTATTTCTTTTCATATTTATGTTTAATAATATAATGTTGTTATTTTTTTATTTCATCTATGTTGATTATATGAAAAGGAAACTGCATGAGATGAATAAGATAGGATCATAAGATGCCCAATATCTGAAAACATTTGGAATGGGTCAGACATGATTTTTGACCACTTATTACGTTTTGTTTTGTAGAAAGCCTTTCTTTAAAGTGAATTTCGTTTTGTATAAATTGTATCTTCATTTTAATCAATGTTTCATCAACGAATTGCCTGGATTAATAAATAAGAAGCATATATATTAGACAATATAAGCCGGACACGGAGGCACCAGCGCGTGAACTGGAGCGCGTACCCGTCTCTCTGTAGGCTAATTCATATGAAGTGTGCATTTCTCTCTATGCGCGTTCACTACTGCGAAGAGGCGAGTCTGCATCGTAAACTTTATCTGTGCAGCCACTGACATAGAAAGTTTTTCATTAATAAACAATTCAAATGTTTCATGCATAATAATTACTTTTGCCGGTTCTTTGTGGCAAGCTTTATGCGTGCTTTGAGATGCAGAATAGGCAATATATTATGAAAACGCTCATTATGGTTTAGCATTCTCTCCTATATATATTTAAGTAATTTAATCAATATAAATATGTGATTAGACTAATGGCTTAAATCAACTACTACTAGTCAACTAGAAAAAAAAAAAACTTTAGTCGTGCACGGGCAGCCCTACTTCACATGTTTTCTAACCAGCATGTCACTGCGGGCATTCTGAGCGCGCGACGCTGAGTGGACTGAGCACGCGGCGCGTGATCTTCAGAAATGCGCTCTCTGCTCTGGAGGAAATATTACCACTCCGCTCACATGCTCCGCTCACAATGTGCATCTTCTCCTGTTGTCTGAGAGTTGATTGACAGCTTTTAGATGCATTATTGGCATCGCCACCCTCTGGTTGAACGTGTCACCAGAAAACATGGGGATTTTTTTTTAGACAATAATCCCACAACCTATTCCATATTCTATAATAAAATCAAATAATTGAATATTCGAAAATTGTGACTCATCCCTGCACAAACCAACAGTTTGGTGATGCCGTCTGAGCCTTATGTCATAATTTTTAATTAGTCACGCGGTAATACCGTATACCGCGGTAAAATAGGGAGGAGGTTTGACGGTATCAAAATTTGGATACCGCCCAAGCCTACCTGGGAGATGAGGCATGTGACAACAGAAATGATTTTTCTCTCTAAGCAATGTGAGATGGTGCTAATGAAAATGGACTTGAAGCAAATCACAGTTGTGTATAATTTATAAAGGTCAAATCTGATGTGTGTTTAGATCTAATGAACCTGAAAGATTCATTTCACTGGCTGCTGATTTTTTTTTCCCCATTCAGACAAATGAAGGAAAGACAACTGATCTGATGTTTGACATATGTCAGCAAGCTGTGTGATTTAAACAAAAGCTTTTTTTTGTCTTAATTTGAGCTTTCATGAATAGAGTTTTCCTCATTAAGTTTGACTTATTCGTCATGGTTTCATGGAACATTTAACACTCAGCTCTGCACTGCATAACATGTTTAAGATTCATATTGTGATATTCACACCTGTATTGCCCTTTATAAAGAAATTCTGTCCAGATTTCTACTTGGACTTATCCTGACAGTCACGTATTGATTTACAAGGCAAACTTGGATTGTTTGCTAGAAATTGGTCCCTCCAGATATATGAACTTGTGCTTTACAGTCGATTTGCTTTGAATTAATTTTAAAACCTTAGACGTGTATTTCTGAATGACAGCCTACAGACCGTCAACAAACATTTCTATGTTCCAGGGAGCCACCATAAAGAGAGACGAGTCCACTGGTGCTATAGTTGTAGCTCGGGTCCTGAGAGGAGGAGCTGCTGATCGGAGTGGTGAGATGCACTTTAAATCTATTAATATTATAACCTTTTTCACCATAGTGTTCTTCATCAACACTCTTATAATTAGAAACTAAATTTGTGTATAGATTAATGCCATAAAATAACCCTTTATGTCGACCTGAAATGGAAATTTCCCATCTTATTGTGAACAATTTTGTGATATTTAATCAAAATGTCATACCTCAAATTCCAGTGAAATGACAGACTTTTTTCTAGTGATGTATGCTGGACTTCTCCAATCATTTAGTCAGCTTAAACCCCGCCCCTTTCTTTCAAAAGACTGCAAGCTCGCATTCAAATCTGCCTTGCTACTTCCACCACATTGCAACTTTAAATCCTCTACTGCAGGGTTATTATCATAAACCAAAACTATAAGACAAAAGCAAATAGTTTCAAAACATGTAACTTACATGTTTTGAACATGTAACATTGTAAACTTAAAATATACATCACATAAAACAACAACAAAACCCTAAAACTAAACTAAATACAGTGTGAAAAACACACTCAAAAGTCTTGCTTATTTAAGAGAATTCTGAATGCTACTGGCTAAAGAAATGATGCACATAAGACAACAGTGTAATACATGCTCCAAACATGTTATAGTTATAGTTATGCTTATAGTTCCTGAAGCTGGATTGTGAGTGGTTAGTGAATAAGACACACAGAGCTTTTTACTGAAATAACTGAATTCACCTCACAATGTTTAACGTAATTCTTTCCGCCGATTCTTTCTTCTCATTGCTTCATTGGTGGATGCTACAGGTCTAATTCATGAAGGTGACAAACTCAAGGAAGTCAATGGAGTTCCAGTGGAGGACAAGAACCCAGAGGAGATCATTCCCATACTAGTATGCATTGCTGGCCTGTCGCCAGCGTGTTTGGATGCTGGTTCCCCGCATGGGATGCTAGTGTGCTGGTGTCCCCATCAGGCTTCTTAATTAGCTTAACCAGCAAACCTCTCTTGGTCAGCACGGCTAAGCTGGCTAGACCAGCAATATCCAGAAAAGAAACTGATGTTAGTCTAAGCTGCATGCTTGAATGTGTTTGGGCCATGGTGTGTCTGTGCTTTAATTTGATGTGGTGTGCATTTGCGTTTGATGGTTTTCTGGAGCAACACATGTGCATTCTATCTTTGTTTATACACTACTAGTCAAAAGTTTTCAATAATTATAATTTTTTCAGAAATCATTCTAATATGCTAATCATCGTGTTTTTGTATGAATGTTTTGCTGCTTAATATTTTTGTGGAAACTGTTATACCCCACACTTTGGATTGTTAGGTAAAAAAAAAAAATTTAATAATAATAATATTTTTTATCAAAAGGGACAGTAAAGTCATTCATAATGTTTCAAAAGATTTCTATTTTAATCTTACATGTATGTATATACATTTTATATTGTTTGTTTTACTTATCCTCATGTACAGCACTTTGTGATTTTATCTGTGAAAAGCGCTTTATAAATAAGCTTTACTTATTTACTTACTATTTCAAATAAATATTTTTTTTCTTTAACTCTCTTCAAAGAATCCTGAAAAACACGCCTTCCACAAAAATATTAAGCAACAAAAAAATTATAACAATAATAACCATTATTAATAATTAAGCACCAATAATAATTGCTAATAAATAAGTGCCATGTGAGCATAAAATAATGATTCCTGAAGGATCATGTAACACTAAAGACTATGTAATGATGCCGAAAATCCAGCTTTGCCATCACACGAGGAATACATTACATTTTAAAATATATTGTTATTTAAAATTGTAACAATATTATTTACAATTTTTACATTTTATGTACACAATATTAGTACCGTAGTTTTTATTTGTTTTGGTCAAATAAAGGCAGTCTTGATGAGCATAAGAGGAATATTTTCCTGTTATCACTGTAAAGCTGCTTTGCAACAATTTGTATTGTAAAACGCGCTATATAAAAAAAGGTGACTTTACTTGACTTCTTTCAAAAACATTACAAAAAAATCTTAATTATTCAACATTTTTGACCAGTAGATTAAGTGTTATTCAATCTGAAACTTGTAAGCTTTTCTTGAGCCTGTATGTCCTTATCACATCCTCCAGGCCCATTCAGAAGGAGCAGTGACCTTCAAAGTCATCCCAGGCACAAAAGAAGAGCCGGATACCATAGAAACCAAGGTCCCTTGACGAAATCAAAGCGTACAGAGTCGTTTTCTGCATTGCATTTTACACTCCAGATAATTTAAGCCAAAATTGGTGACATCAACATGTGTTTGTGGATTGTTGCAGATCTTTGTGAGGGCACTTTTTGACTATGATCCCCAAGCAGATCCCGCTATTCCATGCAAAGACGCCGGGTTGGAATTCTGGAGAGGAGATGTGTTGCAGATTGTAAGCCAAGAAGATGACACCTGGTGGCAGGCCAGACGGCACGGTGACGCCAACCTCAGGGCTGGATTGATTCCCTCAAGACAGCTTCAGGAAAGGTAAGAAAACTTTCTTAATCAGACTGTTGCAAAGTTTCACTCCAAGTCTAGACTGAAGAAACTAAATCCTTTTGTTGTCAGAGTCATACACAGATGTTGTCAGTCAGACTCCGATCCTGTCATCATGTTCCCAATGTTGAATTAGACACAGTCAATGGCAACTCAGTCTGACCCTCCCTTAGTCAAACTTAAAATCTTGTAAGAAAAACCATCGATCTCATCAACATTTAAATAAAATTCCTTTTGTCTGGACACTTGGTCACAGACACGGTGTCTGTAAAGACAATGGGAATCTATCAGCGTGCTGAGATTTTACTATAGGCAATAACTTGATCTAGTCTCAGCCTTAGATGACACGTTCACCACAGTCCGTTCACTGACCGTCTAATGCGGCCCAAAATCATATTTAAAAGCTAGTTGATTTATGTGCATTTGAATAGTTTGCCAGATTAGTGAAATTGAATCTTTCTGTTTGAGACACTTAGTTACAAATAAACTTGATATCAATGAGCAGAACCGTAAAAGAGAGTTTTGTCTGTGAAATAGTCTATATTTATTACTTTTAGACGTGCAGATCACGAATTCTATATCCATATCTTGGTTTTTTTGTAGTATAATATAATTGTAACGATCACCAGCTGGAGTGCCCTTGAGAGCCACCAGAGGCACTCCACATCAGACTATTGTCATTTCCTCACAAACTACATTTCCCATAACTCACTGCCCAGACTCATCATCCCTGATTGCACCCACCTGTGTCTCATTACCTTGTTAGTCTCAGCCTATTTAAACCATGTACACTCATTCATTCCCTGCAAAGTCTTGTATATTGTCTCACTAAATATGTGCATTTCTGAGCTTGTTTGTTTCCTGTTTCTCCCGTGTCCTGGTTCTCTTGATTCTCTGCCTGCTCCCTTGGATTTCTCTCTTTGCTTCACCCCTGATCTGTTATTGTTTGGATTGTTTGTGTATGACCCTTGCCTGTTATCTGGATTACGTCTTTGGATTACCCTGTTGAATAAATACTGCATTTGGATCCTCAACCTTTATGTCTCAGAGCAGTACGTGGCAATAATATTCACTACCGTTGAAAAGTTTTTTTCTTTTTTTCTTTAATCAATACTTTATTCAGCAAGGATTAAATTGATCAAAAGTGACAGTTAACCCTCTGGGGTCCTTCATTTCAGGGTCACACTCAGGGTCTTCGGGACCAAATGGTCCGGAAGGGTTTGATTCATATTTATTAAAAGAAAATCATATATATATTTTTTTACTTGTTTTTTATAAAAAAAATTCTTTTATTTTTTGGTGTTTTGAGAAAATTTTATGATTTATAATTAATATTTATGCAATAATTATGACCCATTTTTTCCCATTGAATATAATTTAATTTTTTATAAATATGTATTTTTTTTTTTATTTTTTTTAAAGCTGTATTTCATTTTAGAGTCAAGCCTAGGCCTCATGAAAACAATTTTTGAAATGAGATGGATGCCATCTGCTGGACACACTGAGCATTTTTATCACGCAATAGCACATTTTTACCACTAGTGGATTTACAGCTCTCTGTAGAAAGGGTTCAGAATTCTTGTGAGTTTTGCACATCTTTGACAATTTTTTTCAGGTTGTTGATTTTAAAATATAATAACAGATTCTCAAAGACTATTTTTGTCTTGTTTTTTGTTTGTTTGTTTGGTTTAAATGGTAATTTGAAGTGCCAGTTTTACTTTATAATACAGATTATTATAAATAGATAATACAGTGTGTGTGTGTGTGTGTGTGTATGTGTGTGTGTCTGTTTTGCACTCTTGATGTTTTAGAGATTCACCCCTTCACTGTTGAGTCCTTTTTTCTGCATCCTGGCTGATTTGTAGATTGTATGCAAAAAAAAAAAACTGACAATTTCCCATTCATTTCCTATGGGGGTCATTTTTGACCAAAGAGCAGAAGTGTGACGACCACTTAGCATGCTTGGATCATGACCTCAATATTTTTTGTTTGTTCACATACCTAATACCATAAAAGTCACCTAGTTTCGTAACATTCCGATGAAGCTGTGATTTTTAAAAATTCAAAACATATTTATGTAATCTGAATTTATTAGTGTGTTTGTGTATAAAAGTGTGTGTGTGTGTGTGTGTGTGTGTGTGTGTGTGTGTGTGTGTGGATGTGTCTGTTTTGCACTCTTGCTGTTTTATAGATTCACCCCTTCACTGTTGTGTGCTTTTTTTCTGGATCGTGGCTGATTTGTTGATTGTACGCACAAAACAACTCTGTATTGTCACATTTTTGTCAATTTCCCATTCATTTCCTATGGCGGGTCCATTTGGACCCGAAGACCCTGAGTGAGACCATTTTTTTTTACAACCACTTAGACTATTCAAATCCTGTCCCCAATTTTTTTGGGTGTTCATATACCAAGTACCAACAAAGTCACCAAATTTCGGACCATTCCGATGAAGCTATGATTTTACACATTTTTTTATTTAAATTCTTCGGGTCCATTTGGTCCGAAGAACCCCAGAGGGTTAAGACTTTTACATGGTTACAAAAATGTATGCTGAAGAAAAAAAACATATATAAGTATAAATATATACATATACTGTATATATATATATATATATTCAAATAGAAAACAAAATACTACAAAATCGTAACAACCGTAATAGTATGAAATATAATTACAGTTTTAAATATAACTAATTTTATTTCATACTATTACTGTTTTTACTATTTTTTTATCAAATTAATTCAGTTTTGGAGAGCATAAGAGACTCTGACTGACGCCAAACTATGTTTTGATTATGCGGGTTTGAACTTCATCTGACTTTAAATAGACAGCTTTACAATATTTAGGATTTTAACTGGGGCTAACTGGGATTTCAGCATAGTTTCAATGTTTTTCCTACAGGAGAATTACTTTACAGAGGCCTGAAGTTCTGTTTCACCCACCCAGAGTGTCGAAGGAATTCGGCGGTAAGCTCAGAAATACCTGATATTTACTAGACAGATCAGTATTAAAATGACATGCAGATAAGACATTAAAAATATCGGGCTAACAATATCTACTCTCTCTAGCCCGGTCCAAAATGGTGCATTTGATGTGCAGTAGCAGACTTTAGCCCGGCAAGGCAGTAGGGTGTATCTTTAATTTGCAGCCTCATTGTGAGCCTTCACTGAGAAATCATGTCAGATGTCTCATTAAGAGGAAAACTGCTAGAGCGTAGTGCATTGGGAAGTCCAATACATTTTTTATTAGCTTGACATACGTTTCTAATAGGCTGCATTTTAATTTGCGAGTGATATTTTTGCTGAGATCGCCACTGGCGACAATAGAAATGTACATGTTGTGATTTTGCAGTGAAAAAAAAACTCACTGAGTTTCTCACTGAGATAGAAAACAACGGAGACGTGTCGGTGTCAATGAATGAACATCCGAAAGTTTCAGGAAGGCAGTGTCTATTTCGTGCACACAAAGTAGCTAAACTCCAACAGCCATCTAGCCTGGTTAAAACCAGACCATTCTCAGTTGTAACTGAGTTATGGTCTGGCAAAGCGTCATAGACAAATCATTTCCAGAGGGGCGTCACCAACGGACATCGCGGATAGACCTAAAACCAATCAGAGCGATGAAGGAGATGACGTATGCAGAGCGGCAGAGAAACATCTCCAAGTGTTGTTCTTTGCTCGGTTTTTAACAAAAAGGAAACGTTTAAATCGCTTAAAACAGACGCGATAGCTGATTCGAACAAGTGATGTTCGACGGATGCGGCATCCATCTTTGTAATGTAGGCTAAAATCTGCTTCAAAATCCCAGCGGTGTCGTCATCGTGTAAAGCCCGCCCCAACGTTTCTGATTGGTGCCTCGATTTCGACGGATTGGAAATGGGCTTGAATGAGCTCTTTGCCAGACTAACTTTCAGAGCAAATCTAAATTTGCCGGAAGTTGTCTGGTTTTTCCCAGGCTAACAGCCATCCATAATCGCAGTAAGATTTGTACTTACCTTGTACTTGACACCTTTAATGTCACTTTTAATGTGTTTTAACACTTTTAATTTTAGTAAACAATTAACAAACTTTCAGCTTTTAAATTCTGTCAATTTTATCACAAAATACGTGCAATAAATGTCGTGTTGGTGCTCTTTAATGTGGCCTGAAAGATCCCTCAATCAGCATTTTGACCTTGAAAAGAGCTTGTATAAAACAGCTTAAAGGGATACTTCACCTCTGGGAAGATGAATGATGAATGTGTATTTAATATTGGTCATTTATATAGTAGAAATTACATTTACATTTAGTCATTTAGCAGACACTTTTATCCAAAGCGACTTACAACTGAGGACTAAACCAAGAGAGTCATCGTGAAGAGACAAAAACAACGCAAGAAGTGCTCAAAATACAAAGTTCAGACATTGCTCGGAGTAGCATAAGCCAGATAAGCAAGGATTTAAAGGAAAAGGAAAGCATTTTTTTTTTTTTGCTATGCTAAGTGCTCACGGAAGAGATGAGTTTTCAGTTGTCTTTTGAATGCTGTCAGGGATTCTGCATTCCGGATGAGGGTGGGCAGATCATTCCACCAGCGTGGTACCGTGAATGAGAATGTTCTGGAGAGTGATTTTGAGGCTCTCTGTGATGGTACCACTAGCCGTCGCTCATTGACTGATCGTAGGCTTCTGGTAGGGATGTAGACTTGTAGTAGTGAGTGGAAGTAGGAGGGAGCTGATCCTGTGGTCAATCTGTAAGCAAGTGTCAAAACCTTGAACTTGATGCGAGCAGTGAGTGGTAGCCAGTGCAGAGAGATGAACAGAGGAGTGACGTGGGACCTTTTGGGCTCGTTGAAGACCAGACGAGCTGCAGCATTCTGGATCATTTGTAGAGGTTTAGTTGCACATGTTGGAATTCCAGCTAGAAGAGCATTGCAGTAATCAAGCCTAGAAATGACCAGGGCCTGGACGAGAAGTTGTGTTGCATGCTCAGTTAGGAAAGGCCTGATCTTCCTGATGTTGTGCATAGCAAACCTGCATGATCTAGCTGTGTTTGTGATGTGGTCTGTGAAGGTCAGCTGATCATCAAAGATTACTCCAAGATTTCTGACTGACCTTGATGGGGTGATTGAGGAAGAATCTAGCTGGATAGTGAAGTCGTGCTGTAGAGACGGATTGGCAGGGAGGATGAGGAGTCTTTGCCAGGTTTAGCTGCAGGTGATGTTCCTTCATCCATGTCGAGATGTCCGCCAGACAGCTTGAGATCCGTGCAGCTACTGTGGGATCATCTGGTTGAAATGAGAGGTAGAGCTGGGTGTCATCAGCATAGCAATGGTAAGAGAAACCATGTGCCTGTATGATGGGTCCCAGTGATGTGGTGTAAATGGAGAAGAGGAGCGGTCCAAGAACTGAACCCTGGGGAACTCCTGTGGTCAGTTGATGTGCTTTGGATACCTCACCTCTCCATGTGACCCTGAAGGACCTACCTGTGAGATAGGACTCAAACCAGTGGAGAGGAGTACCTGTGATGCCCAGTGATGAGAGGGTGGACAGAAGGATCTGATGGTTCACAGTGTCGAAGGCAGCAGACAGATCCAGGAGGATGAGAACTGATGATTTGGAAGCAGCTTTTGCGACCCGCAGGGCTTCGGTGACCGACAGCAATGCAGTCTCGGTTGAATGCCCTTTCTTGAAGCCAGATTGGTTGACATCCAGCTGGTTGTTCTGAGACAGGAAAGATGATACTTGGTTGAAAGCAACTCGTTCAAGTGTTTTCGCAATGAATGGTAGGAGAGAGACAGGTCTGTAATTCACTAAAAGTGATGTGTTTAACGTTGGTTTTTTAAGCAGTGGAGTTACCCGAGCCTGCTTGAATGCTGTAGGGAAAATGCCAGTGTAGAGGGATGAGTTGATGATGTGTGTGAGAGCTGGAAGGAGTGTGGGAGAGATTGCTTGTAGAAGATGTGAGGGGATGGGGTCCAGAGGGCAGGTGGTAGGATGACTAGAGAGGAGAAGTTTAGATACTTCATCCTCGGTTAGTGGAGTGAAGGAGGAGAGAAGGTTGTTGGCTGTGGGAGAGGTTAGTCTGGGTTCCTGTGTGTGTGAAGCTGAGAACTGACTGCTGATAGTTGTAGTTTTGTTAGTGAAGAAGTTAGCTAAGTCATCAGGAGTTAGCGAGGAGGTGGGTGGTGGTGGAGGTGGACAGAGGAGAGAGTTGAATGTCTTGAACAGTGAACGTGTGTTAGAGGCGCTGTTGATCTTGTTGTGGAAATATGAAGATTTTACGGTGTGAACATCAGCAGAAAAGGCAGAGAGCAGAGATTGATACCTACTGAGGTCAGATGTGTCTTTTGATTTGCGCCATTTCCTCTCCGCTGCCCTGAGTTCGGTCCGGTGTTCACGAAGAACCTCAGATAACCAGGGGTTGGAGGGAGTAGCGCGTGCTGGCCTGGAGGAGAGAGGGCAGATATTGTCTAAAGAAGAGGTTAGAATGGAGCATAAAGTATCCGTTGCAGTATTCACATCCAGAGATGAGAAATGCAAGGGTGAGGGAAGAGAAGATGACACAGCAGAGGAAAGATGGGATGGAGAAAGTGAGCGCAGGTTTCGTCTAAAAGTAACTGGTAGGGGAGTTGGTGATGCATGGGTAGTGAGTTGTAGATTGAAAGTAATGAGGAAATGGTCTGAGACGTGGAGAGGTTTTACCAAAATATTGTCTGTGATGCAGTTGCGTGTGTAAACCAGGTCCAGTTGGTTGCCTGACTTGTGAGTACCTGTGGTGATAAGCCGTTGGAGATCGAAAGAGGCTAGGAGAGAGATGAAGTCTGTTGCATACGGCTTCTCTAGATGAATGTTGAAGTCGCCAAAGACTACAAGTGGGATGCCATCCTCAGGGAAGGAGCAAAGCAGCACATCCAGCTCCTCTACAAAGCTTCCCAGTTGACCTGGGGGGCGATATATGACTACAATATGGATCTTAGTGGTAGTTGTAAGTGTAATAGCATGATATTCAAATGAGTAGTTATTGCATAGAGAAGCGAGAGTTGAGTATTTCCAATTGTTAGAAATGAGAAGACCAGTACCCCCACCCCTCCCCGACTGGCGAGGGGTGTGAGAGAAGGAGAAGTTGTTAGAGAGAGCAGCAGGGGTTGCTGAGTCTTCTGGATGGATCCAGGTCTCAGTCAAGCCCAAGATATTAAGAGTGGAATAAGATGCAAAGGCTGGAATGATGTCAGCTTTATTGACTGCTGATTGACAATTCCATAGACCCATAGAAAGAGTGAGAGGAGAGTGTGAGGATGAGGGAATAGGGCGCAGATTAGCAGTATTGCGCTGCCTTTTGTGCATGATGAGAGAGCGTTGTCGAGAGACAACAGGAATGTATTGAAAGCACATGATGATTAAGGGAAATAAGAAAAAGGTGGGAAAGGAAAAGGTGAAGAAGATACTTAAGTGCCTTGCAGGTGTCCTTGCTCGGTGGAGTCGCACAGGTAGAGTCGCAGGTCTTTACCCGAGTCGGTCTTCACACGAGGAGGCTGAACACGAGAGCTGAAAGCTTCCGCTGACGCTTCCGCGACAGCACGCACACTACATAGATATAAAGCTTTCAATCGCCAGAGTGAGGACAGCTGTGGCCGCCCTTGCAATTAGCACAGCCAAAGCAAATATCCCGAGAATGGCCCAAACCGAAACTAGCTCTTGAACAGCGCTACTTAAGTGCTACAATAAAATACAGACTGCAACCCTTTAGATTCGCGGGATAAATTCAAAATAGGAACACGTCTAATTAAAATACATATATTTAGTGCAGATAAAAATGATAAATAAGCAAAGAATCGAAAATAGCCCTACCTACTTGACAAATAGTAAACAGAACAACAGGAGAACTGGATATTAAGAAAAGACAACTTACGCGCTCTTGTTGGTCTCACAGAGTGACTGCTTGTCCTGGCTTTCTCTTGACTTTGCTCTATATTTATATCTACTTTAACA